CTATAAGGTCTAGGCCTTATGAAAACAAAATAAAGCCTCACCTCAAATCCTCTTCAAGAAAACAATTTCGGCAATTGAAATGATGATCGAAATCAATTTCCAATGCTGACAGTAAAACTTGAACTAAAAAAATGGTACAAATCTTATGGATCTATGAAGAGTTGAATACTTATTTTTAAGGTGAAATAGATAGTCTTAAATAATTTGTTATAATATACACCATTTTTAGAGCTTATAATCCTAATTTTTTTCACAACTAAAATGTTCAACCTGAGATGATCCGTGTAAAGGTTTTCCAATGCATGAATTGTAATTTTCGATGAATTGTGAGATGAGGCTTTACTTATTTTGATAGGGCTGCAGTCCTATCAAACCATTTTCCATTAAAAAAAGGATTAAAATAAAACATTAGGACTTCTATGCCTTTATGAAAATTGTCAATGGTAAAGGAACGGTTTTCGAAGCAAAAATATTGGGATTGTATAGTGAGTACAATCTGAACCGTCCAAAGCTTTGTACGAGGGCAGGTGCCTTTTTTGCATGGGTAAACACAAAACCAATAAAAATTTGAAAGAAGGAAGCTTTGCGTTATCCTCAGTTCATGAGGAGTGGACAAGGATGCCCTTCGATCTCCAATCCCTTATTTTTGGGTGTGGTTTGCGTGAGGCATCAACCTTAAAACAACGTAAAACGCGCCTCCATGCTTTGTCAAAAGACGGAAATTTAGTGTCATAATTATCATCATCTTTAAAGTTTTTTTAAAAAATTATTTAGAGTTGACTACACTAATTGTGGTCCATTATTATGCTCTATCAAGGGTCATATATTTTACTTAAAAATATACTGTTAAATATAAAATTTTAATTTTATAAAAGTTATAAATTAAATATCTACAAACATTTTAAAATATTAAACATTAACGGTTTAGATGATTCATTATAGTATGTATTATTTTTAAAATTTGAAATTCTTTTTTTATCTATAATTGTGCATCACGAGATCGAGATAATCAATTTTACAGGTTTTTAACATCGAAACAAACTTTTCTTATAGATCTTAGAGGTGCACCTTACTTCTAACCCCCTCACCATGTTTTTTTTTCGCTTTTCACGATTTCAAACATAAAAGTTTCATAGCTAGTGGCACAACCTCGGCCGACCCGACATCTCGGGCTAACTTAAATTGGATCGGGCCACGGATTCCAAGAGTAGGGCTAGGCCTAGGCTAGGGCCCAGTTGGCTAGGTTTGAGCTGGACCGGACTTGGGCCATGCCTCTAGGTTCTAGGGTTTGGCTTGGGCTAGCCCCCGGCACTGCAGCCTGCAGCCTGCCACCCCTATTAAAACTGCAAAATAATCAAATTTAATTATTATTTAGATACATCAACTTGCAATGAAGGGTGTCCACGCCTCTTCTAACAGTGATTTGGTTCATTTTGTAGAGTACTTTTGACTCATTTTTTGTTCACTACCGAAATTTTTGTAGCAGACGATAACATTTCAAAAAATCAAGCCGGTACAATTTTTTTTAAAAATGAAAATTAAAAGAAGATCATTCAAGCCTATTGTTCTTATTATGTAGCATAAGAGCTTATAGTGGGATTCATAAGATAACATAATTCAATATTGCAGGCATGATGAAATTAGTATGGAGAATTGTTGCCAACCCTTATTTTCTCATACCGTATTTCTGGGCAGACCTTTGACTTTCTGAACAATCTATCTGGGAATATTATGGAGATTATATACATAGGGATCTAAATGTTCTTGTCAAGCCAAAAGTGGCGGACTATTTGCAAGTTTCTTCTCAAGAATGGAGCCTTCCTACTCCTACATATGTCCATCTCATTCGAGTTTGGAGAGAGTGCGACTTTTGCACTCCCTCTATGCCCCCAGAAAGAATTTTTGGTTTTGATCCATTCTTCATATGGCCTTTTCTCAGTCAAACATAAATGGGATCATATTCGACGATGGGGCACTCCATAGCTGATTTTCAAGAATATATAGGTTTCGCATTGCCACCTGAGAGCAAAATGGTTTTCTTAGTTGGCTATTCATCAATGCCTTCCCACCTTCTCTTTATTACAACTGAGGAGAATTACTACAACACAAATATGCTCTTTCTTCCAATCTAACAATGATAGTATTTGCCAACTATCATTTCACTGCTCTTTCTCGTAGGGTACGTAGAAATCCTTTACATGTAGGTTTGGCAAATGTTTACATGGCTCAATCCAACCGATTGTATCTATGTTGTGGACGTGAATTTTCTACATGTTGAAATCAGTTGGTCTTCTTAATGGATGGCATTCCCTTTTCTTCATCACTATATAGATACTTTGGGAGGAGCACAATCATTGGGTTTACCAAGGGAAGGTTTTTAAGAAAGAACAACTTGCCAAGAGGATTACTCTAAATATTAGAGAGATGGCAGATGCTAAGGATTGGACCTTCCACGTATCCAAAAATGTTATAGTATATAATCTTTATGTCACATGGCGGCAAGAGAAGATGAAGTCCTCTATTCCAATTGCACAGTTCTTACCTCGCTCAAGCAATTTCAAATTTAATGTTGATGGAGCTTCTCTACATAACCTAGGATGCGTAGGAAGGGGTGTGGTCATCAGAGGTGAAGATGGATATTTTATTGCTGTATTTGCACAACTCTTTGGAAGCATCTAATAAATATGTTGAGTTTCATGCTTTGCAAGCCAGAGTTGATCTTGCTATCGAGTTAGATTGTTGTCCTCTACGAATTGAAAGTGATTCATCTCTACTTATCAATTCCAGTCAAGATAGATGTAGAGTCCCATAGCATCTTCACATTGTCGTTGCCAAATGCAGACATATCTGACGTGTGTAGTACATCACACATATCTATTGTGAGGCTAATATGGTGGTTGACGCTTTCGTTATAAAAGCCACGGGTTTTTTGGCACAGACCGCTTGCTTGTATTTCCCTCCATGTACTTCATGATGTTGTGCAATTGCCTTATTGTAAGGTTGTAAATTTATGAAAATTATTCAATGAAAATCCGGTAAGAGGATTTCTCTCCCACCAGCTTACCAAAAAAAAAAAAAAAGCTTGAATTGTAGCATAATTAGCATAAGTCAATAGAGTAATATTGGACTTCAAATTTGCACATGTAAATGCTTGGGCCTTGGGTGGGGGCTGAGTGATCTTGTAAAACGCTTGTATTGTCGCATAATTAGCATAAGTCAATAGAGTAATCTTTCGGTCTCATGTTATTTGTACTTACTCCCTCTATTACGTTTACTGGGGTTTTAAGATCCGGAAATCCGCATTGGACGCGGCGGGGTTGCAATTTAGGTCGCTCTCTTTAATCCTTTGGATTTTATTTTTTATCATTTTAAAATTAAGGGATTTTATTTTTGGAAAATTATGTATATATCCATTATTTAGTATCGTTAGAGGCGTACTTCACAAATTTATACCTAAACTTTCATCAAATACAACAAAAATGTTTACTTTGTTGTCACAACACAAAACATGTGATACGTTTATTAGGAGTGTAATAACAACAATACTAAACATAAGAACTACATTAGCAAACAACAAGAACCGAACCAGATATAAGAATATTGTTGGAAGAAAAAGCAAAATTGACTTCTAGTATAAAATTCCAGTTAGCTAAAATAAAAAAATCAAAAAATATAAAATAATGGTCCATCCAAATTGTATGTCATATACACAATGAAATCAAAAAAGTTGAAAATGTGAAATTAATTCAAACTTCTACATGTAGAAAGAAGGCAGCAAAATGTTTAAACAAATCCAAATATTCGAAGCTCACCTTGAACTTGTAGCGACCTAACTATTTTGTTATCATTGAATCTCTCTTGATCTTGATGATGACATTCTATGTTTAGAAGAAACAAATATTTTTCTGAGTTACTCTTGCTCTAACTCTAACTATTATTTTGAGATATAGGATTGTTTTATGAATTATTTTTGGAGGACATATTGCACTTTTTTTAAGGTAACATATTGGTAAAAAATTTGAATAGAAAGTTTTGTGAAATCAAAATTCCTAACTTTTTTTCCACTTTTAATGTGGTTATCTCTAAACCAAAATTCAAATATATTTAATCAATGAAGATATAAAGATATAAGGAAGATGTTTTTTTGAAAAAATTATAAGTACAAATTTATGTTAGTTCCATTAAAATGTGATTTTTTGAAATTTTTTTTAAAAACTCAGAGTTCTTAACGGAATTCAAAAAATCAAAGATCTACTTTTGTTTTTTTAAATGCATGTTTTAAACAAAGACGTGCTCACGATGGCCTGAATTGATGATCCAACCAATCTGAATTTAATAATATGTTGTTTGTATAAGGTTGAGGCTTTGAGCAATCAAAATAAGGCATAATTGTAAATAGTATTGAAAGATAATTTTTCAACAGCAAATATCTTTGTGATGACATAAAAATTATTTTTATATCTAATTATAAAATTTAAATATCCAAAAACACTATAGATCGAGCAGATCTATAAAAAAACTTTAAAATATTGCAAATTGATAGCCTAGATAATGCATACAAGATGCAACTATTTCCTAGACTTAGAAATCCATTTTTTCTCGTCTATACATCTCAAACTTGAGATAATTGATTTGAGAATTTTTCAACATTGTACAACCTTTTCAAGTGAATATTTGAGGTGCAACTCAATTTGATTGGTTAAGGCCTCAACCTTAAACAAACCGAACTCCGAGTTTATTTTTTTGAAATCAACCCAATTCCGAGTTTTGAAACATGAGGCAATGGTGGTTTACTCTTTGGCAACCCGTTAGTAAATTTTCATTACCAATTTACCAACTCAAAATTTAGAAGAGAATTTGAAGGATTGAAATCCTTTGGGAATGGAGGCCATGAATTATTGAGGAATCTTTCTGTCATAATAACAGTTCTCAGGGGTTGGTAAATGTAAGAAAAGTACAAGCCCCGTCAGGTTTATTTTAAAACGAGAGGGAGAACAGATTTCAACTAAAAAACCATTGCTCAAAGCTCGGAGACTCTGTGAGGGCGGGCACATCAGCAGAGAACAGATGAGTGAGAGAGAGCTTGGAATGGACAAGACCCATGTCCTTTTGGGTCTATTTTTTCTAGGGTTTCTGGTTAGCCTTACAGTTGCAGAGGGAGGAGCACGGCCAGGGTTCCTTTACACAAGAAGCAAAGGAAAATGCACACCTGAGTATGAGTTTCCTGCCCGCTCTATTTCTCTCTCTCTCTCTCATTTTGGAAGCCTCTTAGGCACCCTCTAATGGGTTTTGCTTGTTTTGGTTTGAAAGGCCCTTAGCTTTGTTTTGTGGAACATTATTGAAATCTTTCTCTCTCTCTCTCT